AAATATATTTTATGTTTGAATTTTGTGTATTATGAGTTTGAAACTAATTTATTCATTTCACCCCATAGTGTAATATATCTTTATTTCTAAAAAAAAACAATAATTTTATTTTTTATTTAATTAAGATAATATAGTAATATTCTTCTTCATTTGTTGGTGCTAGCGAGTTGGATACTAAATTATTATAGCTGATTGATTGAGCAACTTGCTCAAATTTTCTCACCATAGTGTAGTTTTTTTTTTTTAAACCAATAATTTATAATGCTTCACTCCACAAAATTGTGAAGAATTCTTCTTCAAACACTTAGTGAACGATTGATAAAGTTATGTGGTTATTATCAAAATCATCTATATTATAAATTATTTTGTAAAAGATTATCTTTGAAAAAAAAAAAGCCAAACTAAGTTCCACTATTCAATGATCGGACTATTGAATATTTTTATCTAGTCCGACCATCTATCTTTATACAATTAGTTAATAATCTTTTCGAAAATAAAAATGTTATATAAAAGGAAAGTTGTAACCAAAAGAAAATAATAAGAAATTGTTAACGATTAAGAAATTGCCACATTCTCCAAATTCAACAGCTAAGAGCACTTTTATTGGGCATGTCAAATTTTAAATACGACATTTAAATTTTACAACTTATCTAATACTTTAACATTTTGAAAAAAAATTCTTCATCCATAAATTAAATTATTATGTTATTAAATCAAATTATAATAATAATTTTTTTAGTATAACGATATATTTTACACTACAGAAATTGAGAGTTCGATTAAGCCACACAATGACAATCTAATTTGGTATTGAATTCGCTACCCACGAGATTTGATCCTAAGACTTCTCACTTAAAAGTGAAGAGGAATACCACGATACCGTAGTACTGAGTGACATAATAATATATTTTTTTAAACAGAAACAACAAAGCCACTCAGTACTTATGTGGTTTAGCCGAACTCCCCTCCTCTTCGTGTAAAAATATCGATGTAATTAATTAAAAAAAACAATAAAACTAGTAAATATATTTAATAATGAATTAAAAATAAGTAAAATTACGGTCAAATTTAAAAATATTGTTGCTGGCTTTTTGGATTTGGACATTTTGACGTTTGGAGATGCTCTGAAACACAACCGTCAGAAGTGTCAAGTTGAATTTGGGAACTCAGCTGAGGAGTCGATTCACTCTAGGCTTTGGGTAAAACCTCGATTTCAGAGTCCCTTTCAATCGTTCATACATTCATCGTATGATCTTTCTTTCTTCCCCAAGGCTCAAGGCCCCTTCCCATTGAGTTCTTGAGTCGTACACAAATTATCATCCTTTAAACGCCATTAACACTCAAAGAGTGGAGCTTCTGCCAATGGGTCTCTGAGTTTTTAGCTGGGTCTTGGGTTGGGCCAGTTTCTCTCGCTTTTGGTCACTTCTACAGGCTTTTCATCTTCTGAGCTTGCCAAACAAGGTTCGATTTTTCTTATTTTTCTACTGTCTATGTATGTCTATTTCAATGCGAGTAAGTAGTTGGGTATGTAATAACTGCAAAGAACAATATAATCCGTGATTGATTGCTGACGAGTAAAGTCAAGGTCCATATTATGAAATTATATTGTTTCTGTATTTTTCCCGACCTTTGCAAAGCGGAGAGACTTGTTGGCTTGAAGACGTCCTTTTTTTTATATTGTTTCTGCATTTTTTGGAACATTGACTGTCATCTGTTATTTGATATATGTTGTTGGATTGGTGTGGTGACTATGCTTACAATACATTCACCAATTATCTCCCGTTTTGTTGGCCACAATCTCCGAGGCTAAGTCGATGATCCTCTTTTCAAATTCTACTGAAACTCTTCGTATTGTGATTTGTATAAGGTTACCGCGTCATGTAGTCTTCTTTTCACTAAATTGTTTCTTGTATTCCTTGTTCATTCAAAGTGTAAGGTTTTTTTTAAAAGGATTATCATTTAATCATTCGTTTAATGTTTTTTATTGCAGGAATTAATGTTCCGACCTTTTTCTTTATGTAGATATGATTTCTTTTCTCTTTATGTGATACAAGTTGGTTTCAGACATCTATATCTAGCTAAGTTTTAGTGTTTTTGGACTTCGTTATATAGATTAGTAGCATGTCGTTAGACGGCAGATTCGGAGGATCACTGCAGTCATGATTCATGTAAAGGTGCTTGAGTTGGGATTTTTTATTTGAATTTTTGTACGCGTTCAATATCTTAATATATCTCATTCATCTCAAATATTCCGTTCTCTTTCTTTGACATATTATCAAGCGCTCGCCTCTTTCTCTTATTTTTTACTCACAAGTTACAAGTCTATTTAGTTCCTTGACACTACAAAAAAAGGGTCTAAGAACATGTCACGCTCCGGACCCGGAGTCGATAATAAAAACTTGAACCCGAATCCGAAACGTGAGTTAAATACTAAATAATTAAAAGGAAATTGACATGGGTTGGAAAATAAACTCCTCTTATTAAAATAATTCATGATTCTTGAACAAATCAATAATTCTTTACAACCTACAGTAAATAAATGAATAACTTTCTCTACTCCAATCTAATATGATCTCATCATGCCTACCCTCTTGAATGTCTAGTTCGTAAACCTGCATAACAGTGTAGTGGTGAGCTTCAACGACTTAGTAGGGACATAACCTTACTATAGTAAATTGACAATATTAAATTAAGTGTCATGAAATCATATAGCCAAATATCAAAACAACAATTATAACAATGCATGAATGCAATGCAACCTCTTCATTTACTCCTGTTAATTTATATAATAAAACACGTGAACCTGCACATCCCATACCATGCATTTTACCCCTGCAAAGGTGGTTCGAATGTTCTATTATAGAAACTAACCCCCATATTATATCCCAAGTTCATAAACCCCTTTTGCTAGTCATCTTATCTAATTCATTGATCTCCAGCCCAAATCACCCACATCGACAATTCCCGTCGATATCCTATTCTACTGTGCACATCAGACTCGCCTGGAACTAGTTTCACAATGAATAGATTCAACTACACAAAAGATCCTTTCCAACTACCCTCATTCCCATACTTTCAATATGAATACTGAAATTCCCACCACATCAACATGAATGATGCACAAATAATATCAATTTATCTTCCACATGTATCATAGTATATTCTCAACGAATAACATTTCATAACAATAATTCCATAACCAATAACAAGTAAACACTTAACTGAAGCAATTAGCCAATTACTATTCAACCACATTAATCAACCAAAAAGATCAAAAATATTATCACTTCACGAAATTTAATAAAATTAATTTCCGTAAAGGTTTGCCTTATTTCCCCTACTTGGATTCCAAAGCTAAAACCAAGATCCACGTCATTACCGAAATAGCTAGCTGTCCACGTACTTAAGCAAATTCCTTGATCACTCTTAAATCATCAAAGTATTTTTTTTCTACTCTCCTTTATTTTTCTAATCTCTCTCTATATTTATACTTATGTAAATATATACATTTTCCCTCTCTATCTATTCTTCCCTACGTTGCCTGCACTGCATGGTTCCTCAAGCTTTGCATGGCATTGTTAAGCCACCTCCTGTAACCTATGTGGCTGCTAAAGAAAAAGATAATAATCTAAAATGGGACACATTATGTGATAATGGATCACTACATTTTTATTTAATACCTAATCACCTTCCACCATGTGTACTAGTAATATGGTCACTGTCATTTTGACTGGTCACCACGTGGCACACACCTAGCAATTCAATGGTTGCCACCTAACATCGACTCAATGATTAACCTTTCAGTTATTTGACCTCCAAAAAATTATACAAGATGCTACGAGCTCATAATAATTCTTACTATCTTCATACAAGGACCTATTCGATAAATAAGTTTACAAATACTTCTCTTCTTTAGTAATAAATTCTTGGGATTTCACAGAACACAATTGATTGGTGCCCTTTTCAATTTCATTGAGCGTGCACGCATATGTGTGTGTGTGTGTGTGTGCGCTTTTAAGTTTCATTGAGCACAAAATTATTTCGAATGTGCATTTTGAACAAAAAGACACATTAAATTGTGTCTACAAAAAGGTGTATTGTGCCTATTGAAATTTGAATTCGAAAGTTTGTTTTACTACGATTATCTTTGGGTCGATAGACGTCTATCTTCGATAGATTATATATTGAATAAGGATGGTTTACCGTGTCCACATTAAGTCTTGTTTTGGTTTGAGTGATTTAGGATGACACAATGGTGTGGTTTGTGTCGGGTCTTTGCTCCTTATATCACTTTGAAGTAGTTTATTTGTGTTATATTTGTTGGTTGTTCCTTGGTGTGAAATTCCTTGTAAGTTTTTGGCTTTGCCTCGGTTATAAATCTAGTTTACAAAAAAAAAAAAAAGTTTGTGTTATTATTTATGGATTTTTTTATTAAGGGGATGTAGTCAAACTAAGATTTTAAAAGGATTTTAAAAGTGATAGATTTAATAGAATTTAAGAGGATTAAAGACTCCTACAAAATTCATATGGATTTTTAAAGAATTTGAATGGATGATGGTGGATTGTTGTGGAAGGATTTGAAATCCGAGGGGGTGAGGTTGGATTCTTTTTAGTCTTGGTTATATATACTTTTGGCTCTCAAATCCCACAAAATCCACAACTTATTGAAATCCTCCAAAATCTTAATTTTTTTAATATACTTAGATTTAGATGAATTTTTAAAATCCTTTAAAATCTTTTAATTGACTACATCTAGATTTCAAAGGATTCTAAAATCCTTTAATTGACTATATCTAAATTTAAATGGATTCTAAAATCCTTTAAAATCTTTTAATTGACTACACTCTAATTTCAAATCACTACCCCGTAATTTTCGAAAGCACAAAAAACAGTTTGTGCCCTTTAATTTAGTATATTTAAATCTTTTGGTTTTATTAGCACAATAGTTTGTGTATTCCTTCCAAGTCTGGACACAATTATATTTTAATATTAATTTTATTGATCAACACCCTACATCCCACTCAGTTTTAGAAGCAGCCTCACCCATACTCCGCCTCCCTCATATTCTTTCTCACCTCTCTCTCTCTACCTTCTCCAGACAAATCGTGGAGGCTCTTGAGCTCCATCATTGCCAGAATCTCTTAGCAGAAACCTTCTGCACGCGGTGAATGAAGGTTTGGGAAGATCGGATCTGGTAGGGAGGGATCAGGGGAGGGGGTGGGTCGGGTTTGGGAAGATCGGTGGATGTAGAGCCTGAATCGGGAATCGCGTTGGGATCCGAGTCTGATAGGGAGGGATCATGGGAGTGAGGTGCGTCGGGTTAGGAGATGTTTGTGAGAGAAGAGCAGGTGCGAGTCAGAGAGGGAGTGAGGAGTCGTGGTCCTCGTCAATATTTCGTAGCCGTCGTGGAAGCCTGCGAATTCGGAGTCAGCCGCACCTCCGGTCGTAGGAAGTGGAACCTTCTTCAGCTAATTAATTAAGTGAGCAACATGCAATTAGCAAAGGAAGCCAGAATCGAAGTAGCCAGAGAGATAAGGTAATACAATGGTTTGTGAAATCTCTATGATTTTAGGAGTAATCAACGATATCTTACTACTTCAATATTTTATAAACTATTTTTCATATATTATACAGCAAGCATTGTAAAATGTGGTTATTAAATACACAAACAGTGATGAAATCTGTGGATGTGGACGGCCGTGGATTTAGTTCAGGATCATTGCTTTGTATATATTGTAAGGACTTAGTCAGGAGGAGTAAGGACCACGTTGTTATTAGACAGGCCGGTTCGAATTCTAGGCTTAATTCTCGTTTGTTTCCATTCCACTTATGTGTGTAATAAAATTTTGCTTAATCCGATGTTCTATTTGTGTCTCTGGAACAGTCGCATATCTTTTTGCTGAATTGTGATGTTTGCTGCAATTTTCTACTCAAGGGGGTGTATTCAATTGGGATTTTAAGGGATTTTAATTCTTTTAATGAATCGAGGGGTATTCAATCAGGATTATAAGTGATTCTCTGAAATTCTAGGTGTATTCAATTAGAATTTTAAGATAGTTTATTAAAATCCGTAGAAATCCAGGTGTATTCAATTAAGATTTTAAAGAAGTTTATAACATTCCAGGTGTATTCAATTAAAAATTGATTTTAAAGAATTTGAGAAAGTTGAGGAATTAGAGGGAATTGAAGAGATTTCGTAGTGTATTTTAAGCATCCACAAATTTCACCTCTTCACATGAGATTTCGAGGGAATTGAATCAAAATTTTATATGGAATCTCTACAAATCAATTAAACTCCATAAAAATCCATGGATTTATAAATCCATTAAAATCTCTCACATTCTCAATTGAATACACCCCCCTAAGACATGCTTGGTGACTGGAAGTTTTTTGCTTGGAATTATAGATATGATTTTGAAAAGTTAATTCCTTTTATTGCTTCTTGGTGTTCGTCATTGCAGATGCTCATTAAGGATATAAGGTGATGGGTACAATGTTAGTAATAAAGGTTAGTTTGTTGACAGAGCCTGAACTATTGAATAATGTTGCAACTCTCCCCCATTTTCCTGATGCTCTTTCCTCATGTTTTTTTGTCATGCCATACTTTGTTTTTAGGTTCATCTGTAAGTTTCTGCTGAATCTGCGAACCAGTTTTGGCAGTTGGTTGTTGATCCTGCCACCAAAGAACTATTGCATTATACTGAGAAGCCAGAGACTTTTGTATGTAATAGATGCAATTACTGTCCCAAAATTGTTCATTTAGTTGGTGCTTGATGATCTCAATTCTTTGTTCCCGGCCCCATTATGTAAGGGTTATCTATTTTCTAAATGCAGGTGAGTGATTTGATCAATTGTGGTCTATATGTATGTACTCCCACATATTTTACTGCCATTCAAGGAGTCTCGAGTCATCAAGAAGGCAAAGGTTGGTCTTTTTCTTTACTGGCATTATATTTGTGGATTGGTTTGCACTTGGGATCAAATTCTGGCTCTAAAATATTATCACTTGATTTGTAATTCATTTTCATAAGGATTCGACTTGATTTGTAATTACTGAGAACAAATTTGGCCTCAACACGGGCTATTTACTTTTATCCCTATTAAGTAAATATTCATGAATCTTTCACAGTGGATGAATCATTTATTTTATTGTTTAGGTGAGATACTAAAAGGATTTTGTTGCTTACATGGTGCTTATATCTGTATGAATCAATTGTAGAACTAAATTTTAGAAGCATGTTTTAGCTCTACCCTTAGTTTAATTGGTATCTTGAATGTGCATGTAAACCAGCCGAATAATTTCTTACTGATGGTATTACTATTTGATTTCATTTTGTAATATTTGATATTTGTTTTTTTATTTTATTTTTAATATTTAATCTTTTGGGCACAATAACAAAGTTGTACAAACATGGCTTGGAAAAGTCATCTGACACAGGTGTCAGAATAGAGGCACAAAAACTCCTGATTGGTGCTTACCTGTGTCAGCACAAACCACCTTATTGTGCCCAATGACCAAAGGGCACGCCCATAGAGGGCACACATGATGTTTTAGTTGCTGCACTGTTGCTTTTGCCGGGCACATATGATGGTGTCCTTGGGCCTCATAGGGCACATATAACTTTTAGTGTGCAATGGCAGTTTTTCTTCTAGTGTGAGAGAGACACAAACAGATGGATGGTATTGAAGCTAATATCCCCCCTCATCGAGAAAAGAGACACAAACAAATGGATGGTATTGAAGCTGATATCCCCCCTCATCGAGAAAAGAGACACAAACAGATGGGTGGTATTGAAGCTGATATCCCCCCTTGTCGAGAAAAGAGACACAAACAGATGGATGGTATTGAAGCTAATATCCCCCCTCGTCGAGAAAAGTATGATGTGTTTATCAATTTCAGAGGTGCGGACACCCGCCTTGGTATTACCAGCCATCTTCATGCTGCCTTACTTCAGAAAAAAATTGAAACCTACATCGATTACAGACTTCAGAAAGGAGAAGAAATCGGACCTGCCCTTCTAGAGGCAATCGAGAAGTCCACGCATTCGGTGATCATTTTCTCACAAAACTACGCTTCTTCCACATGGTGTTTGGATGAGCTTGTGCATATACTCGAATGCAAGGAAAGATATGGCCAGAAGGTTATACCCGTATTCTACGACATCAATCCATCTGATGTACGAAAACAACACGGGAGTTATGCGGGTGCATTTGCTCAACTTGAAGAACGTTTCAAGGACAGTATTGATAAGGTGCACAAGTGGAGGGCTGCTTTGAAGACTGCAGCTGATCTGTCTGGGTTTGATTATTCAAACAAATATGGGTAAGTAACTCATTCTTTAATTTGTATAAAATTATAAATTTTCTTAAACTTGTGACAATTTGATTTGTGCTAAGATTTGGTGAAGCATTACTATATATTATAAATTTTCTTTAAACTTGTGACAATTTGAGTTATAAATTTTCTTTACACATATTTACAACAACTCTATCCGCACACATTGTACAATCATATTTACAATTCTACTTACATATATACTAATTAGCTTTTTTGAACTTCCTTGATCAACACATGGATTTTTTTTTTTGCTCTCATATGTATGCTTCTATGTTGCAAATTGAAAAAATAGAAGTTGTTAATATAAATCAATGACATTTTAGTGAAGATGACGGAACACAAGTGTAATTATTGAGGAGAGACTCTCAGTTGCTTCCAAGCTTTTCATGTTTTATGTCAACAGACACTAAAAATTGGGTAACTTGGCATATCGACAGAAGGTTCAACATCCAAATCAGGTTTAAGCAATTCATCAGGCTATATGTCCTCCAAGAAATGTTTGGGCCCACAATTTGATCTGTGGTACTCTTATTGTATGGTTTTGGGGGAACAAATCTTAACAAATATAAGAATCACCCTATTTAGTTCTCTTCTTCATAAGGGATAATCTCATACAAAAGAACTCGAAACAAATTCAAGGTAGAGCAAGCTAAAGATTTAGAAGATAAGGACCCCTTTTATCATCATCTAATACTAAGCATTAGTCTATACACCGTGAAATTCAATAAAATATGCATCACCCATAAATATACAAAACCCATCAAACAAAAGGAGGGGTTTAGAAGAATACTCGTTCTCTCAGGAATCTGCTCCAGAAGATTTCTTAATCTTTCTCCAGAACCGCCGAAGAAGACAACCCACTCATCCCTCTCTCTCTCTCTCTCTGCAATCCCTACAACTCCCTCTCTCTTTCACTCTCTGTAACCCTTCCACTTACTGAATCGTAGGTCTCATACAAACAGGTCTTACTTGCCCCTGTTCAACATCTCTCCCTCTACCTCTCCCTTGCCCTTCCCCTCCCCCTCTCCCTCCCCCTCCCCCTCCCACAATTGCACGCCTCCCTCTCTCTGTCTCTCTGTAATTAGTTGTACCCTATTTAAACGTATCTGATTTCTCTTTAGGGTTAACGGTTTAATTAGTGAGGCAAGTTTACTTTCATCAATAGATAGTCGGTTGAATGCTATAATATGTAAGCACACTTAGTTGAGGAGAGAATAACAAGAATTTTTTTTCTTCACAAATATACGGTGTTAAACCTTTTAGTATATTTCTTTATTTACGTGACAAATTTTTTGACATGCCTTTAAGACTAACTATTTCATACATATATATATGCCAGGACGGAGGCAGATCTAATTAAGAATGTTGTCGATCATATTTGGACAAATTTGAAATGTGAATCATCATGTGATTTAGAGGGCCTGGTTGGAATTGAAAGCCACATCGAGCAAATTGAATTGCTACTGGGCATTCATTCACAGGACGCTTGCATCACTGTAGGTATTTGGGGCATGGGTGGTATTGGCAAGACCACCCTTGCTGAAACTATATTTCACAGACTCTCTTCTAAATTCGAAGCTTCTTGTTTTCTTAAAAATGTCGGGGAGAAATCAGAACCACCAGATGGACTAGATTGCTTGCAAAATAAACTTCTGAGTGAGATATTAGGGGAAGAAGGTCTATCCATAGGATCAACTGGTGTTCAAAATAGGCTTAGTCGCACAAAGGTCCTCATTGTTCTTGATGATGTGAGTAGTCCAATGCAAATGCAACTTTTAGCTGGTGATCGTCTTCGGTATGGCACTGGAAGTAGAATCATTATCACAAGTAGAGATAGGGACACACTTAGACAAACTGTTAAAGAGGATAATATCTATGAGGTTAAGGTATTAAAACCAGATGACGCTTTTCAGCTCTTCTGTTTGCATGCTTTCAAGGATAACACTACTCGTAGAACAGATTATGAGGAGTTGGCGAAAAAGACCGTGGATTATGCCAGACGCGTTCCTTTAGCTCTTACAGTTCTGGGGTCCTTGTTCTTCAGTTGCAACAGCAAAGAAGACTGGGAAGATGAATTCAACAAATTGAAACAATCTCCCAGTGAAGATATCCAGAAAGTGTTGAGAATAAGTTATGATAGATTGGGAAAATATGAGAAGGAGATATTTCTGGATATAGCATGTTTTCATAAAGGGAAGAAAGTGAATGAGGTAAAGCGAATGTTAGATGTTCGTGGATTCTTTCCGACATCCGGAATTAGAATTCTCATTGATAGGTCTCTCATATCAATTTATTCAGATAAATGGAAAGGGGAAATCATAGAGATGCACGATTCGCTACAAGAAATGGGAATGACAATTGTTCGGGAACAATGTATTAAAGATCCTGGTAAACGGAATAGGTTGTTCACGAATGAGGATGTCCATCGTGTACTGAAAAGTAACACGGTAAGAGTTAAATGCATTCAATTTTTTCTTTTATTTTTTAAGAAAAAATAAATAGCAAACTTTAGATGATAACACAACAAAGTAAAACTCATTTATAATAAAGAAGTCAGATTCTTAAAAAATTAATTTGAATGAATTTTTATTGAAAAAATGTTATTCTTATTATTTATTTATACCATCATTTGTACCTTCTCTCTAATAAAGATGGGACCCAAATGCGTTGATGGGTCCTATGCTCTATTAGAAAGATGGTAGAAGTGATGGTACAACTAGGTGGTAAGAGCCACTTGGTACTACGAAACTTGTGCGTCATCACCATCGCAAATACTCTACATTATTCTAGAACTTTGTTGAATTCTTTTTCCAAATAAGCATTACATCTTACCATGTTAAACTTTGTTCTTATTGTCAGGAAACTCCAATTGTTGAAGCCATTGAACTTAGTACGTCGTATGAGAGTGAAAAGCAACCATTGAACTTCAAACTGATGTCAAACCTATTAATGCTTATTGGGCATACTTTTGGATTATTAGACTACAAATCGGCCGCTTCTCTAGACCTTCCCGATTCTCTTCGTTACCTTTACTGGTGGGGATATTCACTGGAATCTCTGCCGTCAAATTTTTCCCCGGAAAATCTAGTTGAGCTTCATATGCCATGGAGCCGAGTTAAGAAGCTCTGGCAAGAAGACCAGGTATATTATATGCCTATTCTATTTCTTGTATAAAATTAAGTGTAGAAATTATATGAATTTTTGATATTTCTCTCTCCTCTTGTTACAGAGACTTGTGAACTTAGAAGTGATCGATCTGTTTCACTCTATGTATCTAACTGAAGTTCCAAATCTCTCTGGGAGTCTAAAAATTGTGAACATAAATCTCTTTGGCTGTGAAAGTTTGGTTGAAATTCCTGGGTATTTTCAAGATCTTGACGAGCTTACTCATCTTGATCTTCAGGGATGCAAAAGTCTCAAGTATCTTCCAGAGATGCCAAGAAATATTAAATACCTGGATTTATCTGAGAGTGGTATAAAGGAGTTGCCCCAATCAGTTTGGTCTCATGAAAAAATTTCTTACTTGGGTATAAGTTCGTGTGGATACCTTGAGAAACTTCCAAGCAACAGGTGTAAGTTGAAAGTCTCTGGTTCATTTTATATAAATTCCTGCACATCTCTTTCCGAGTTTTATGAGCTTCCCAGGGATATAAATGAATTATCATTGGTTAGTTGCACGAGACTTGTGAGTCTACCAACCAACATTTGTAAGTTGAAATATCTCAAGGGACTCAATCTTTCCGGATGCTTTAAACTTGAAAACTTCCCAGAGATCTTGGAGCCAATGGAACATTTGAAGTCCTTAAATTTAAGTGGAACAGCGGTTCAAGAGCTACACTCATTAATTGAGTTTCTCCCTGCTCTCAAAAGACTTATACTAAAACGTTGCAAAAGGCTTTCAAGTATGCCAAAGAGCATTTGTAAGTTGAAATATCTCGAGGTACTCAATCTCTCCAGCTGCTGTAAATTTGAAGACTTACCAGAGATCTTGGAGCCAATGGAACATTTGAAGTTTTTAAATTTTAGAAAAACAGCGGTTCAAGAGCTACACTCATTAATTGAGTTTCTCCCTGCTCTCAAAATACTTAACCTACAACGTTGCAAAAGGCTTTCAAGTATCCCAAAGAGCATTTGTAAGTTGAAATATCTTGAGGAACTCAACCTCTCTTGGTGCTCCAAACTTGAAAACTTCCCAGAGATTTTGGAGCCAATGGAACATTTGAAGTCTTTAAATTTAAGTGGAACAGCGGTTCAAGTGCTACACTCATCAGTCGAGTTTCTCCCTGCTCTGAAAATACTTAAACTACGATTTTGTAGAAGCCTTTCAAGTATCCCAATGAGCATTTGTAAGTTGAAATATCTCGAGGAACTCGATCTCTCTTGGTGCTCCAAACTTGAAAACTTCCCAGAGATCTTGGAGCCAATGGAAGATTTGCAGTGCTTAAAATTATGTGGAACAGTGGTTCAAGAGCTACACTTATCAGTCAAGTTTCTCCCTGCGCTCCAATGGAATTCACTGTTCTCCGAGGCAATGGAAGATTTTATGGAAGATTTTTGGTAAGTGGAACATCGGTTGAACAGCGGTTAAAAAGTCGTTTTTAAAACCACTGACAGATGTAAGCAAGATCATAAAGTTAAAGGGTAGGGGAACTTATAGCTTCCAAAAGTTATGTTCGTGGTCATACTATATAGGCGCATAACTGTAACCATGGACGGTGTTCATGCCTGCACTATCAGCTCGAAATGTCATATGCAATAACGTCATGTTCTCTTTCAATGTAATGTGGCATGATGGATGGGTAGTCATTCTATCAATCAAGATTGCACATTCAGACATGACTCGATTTAATTGTATTTATGGATGTTTGTATGTCAATTGGCCAGCAAAAAATTACTCCCAATTACAAATAAAATTTTATATCTACAAAATACCTATGGCATACTTAAGTTTTACATCTAAATACGAACACATTAGGCAAAGGATGAACATCCAGCAGCAAAGCATCTCGCAGAAAAATATGCTTGATCTAGCCTGCCATGTTGAGGAATTCAAGCTAAATGCCACCAACTAAAACATTGTCAATCATCCACCACCCAAAAGAGGAAAAATAAACAACTATAATTACACAAAGGCTAAATAGCCAAAATGGTCCTGAGATTTGCATAACTCATCACTTTGGTCCCTAACATTTCAAATCAATAAAAGTGGTCCTTGAAATTGTCCACAATCCATCATTTTGGTCATTCCGTTAAAAATTCCGTTAAGTGTCCGAAGCTCTTGGCCGGAAGTTTGGGCAATTTTCAAAGCTTCGTAACTCAATTGTTTCTTAACCAAATTCGACTCATAATATATCAAAATGAAGATAGGAAAGTGTAGATTATACCTATTTGGAAGCCCAATGGCTACCGGAGATGACCGGAAAATAGCCTCAAAGTTGACTGGTCCAAGGGAAAACTGGAAAACTCGCCGGAAACTGGGTAAACTTTAAACGTTCATAACTTCTTCAATACTCAACGAAATCAAGTGATTCAAAAATGAAAATCATACTTTTTGACTAGACGAAGAGAATGGTACCTTTTTAGATGGCTAAATCGCCGTGGTTTGGCCGGAAAACGGCTCAAAAGTGGCTAACTCGAGACCAAGACAACCATTTTCGAGCTGTTTTCCGGCCAAACCACATCGAGTTAGCCCTCGAAAAAGGTATCATTCTCTTCGTCTCATCGAGAAGTATGATTTTTATTTCTGAATCACTTGATTTCGTTGAGTTTTGAAGAAGTTATGAACGTTTAAAGTTTACCCAGTTTCTGGAGAGTTTTCCAGTTTTCCCTCGGACCAGTCAACTTTGAGGCTATTTTCTGGCCATCTCCGACAACCATTGGGCTTCCAAATTGGTAATATTATTCTACAATTTCCTATCTTCATTTTGATATATTATGGGTTGAATTTGGTTAAGAAACGATTGAGTTACGAAACTTTGAAAATTGCCCAAACTTCCGGCCAAGAGTTCTGGGACACTTAACGGAGTTTTAACGGAATGACCAAAATGATGGATGGTGGACAATCTCAGGGACCGCTTTTATTGATTTAAATGTTAGGGACCAAAGTGATGAGTTATACAAATCTCAGGGACCATTTTGGCTATTTAGCGTTACACAAATATAATCATACACACTACAATATACATCCACTTATACATATAAATATATATATATATATATATACACACACACACAAGCATATACATATAGAGAGAGTACCCAATACCTATTTGGGGGAGCCAATGGTAAATTTGAAGTTCTTAGATTTAAGAGGAACATCGATTCAAGAGCTACATCAATCGAGTTTCTCCCCGCGCTCCAAATAATTCAATGACATGATTGCAAAAGGCTTTCAAGTATTCCAAAGAGCATTTGTAAGTTGAAATATCTCGAGGAACTCGATCTCTCTTCGTGCTCCGAACTTGAAAACTTCCTAGAGATCTTGAAGCCAATGGAACATTTGAAGTTCTTAAATTTAATTGGAACATTGATTGAAGCGCTACACTCATCAATCGAGATGAGCCTGAAGTCAATGGATCAAGTGATTAAGCCTGAAGCAAATGAAAGTGATGATCATGGGTGTGCAGCCGGTGGAACAGGAGATGATTCCGACTTTTAATCCAACAATCTTAACATCATTATCCGCTAGAGTTAGAAAAAACTTTACGGTAAATTTTTACTTTGAGAGCTCACTTGTCCAAGAAGTAAGATTGACAAATAGGTAAGGCTTTTATTATTTTCGTATTGTTTATACATTATAAAGCACAAGTTATGGAGAAGTGTGTAATATCCTATATGTTATGTTTAAAACTTGATTTATAAGTCCAGCGGCATCTTAAAATTCGCCTTTATATCATAAACTTAGACTTTAATTAATACGCCATGCTCAAGGCAAAGTAAAAATCTCACGATCAATCGCGATAGTTTGAACAATCGACACTACAAAAATACGTGATAGTTCGATGGTTGAACTGAAATGGGCGAAAAATATGGATGGCCCAATTGGACTAACACCGGCTAAACTCAGTGTTCTTGTTTGAACCACACAAAGATCAGCAAAACAAATTTTATTAGAGCGGGTAAAAGAATTACAGCACATTAAGGCTGAGAAACGAAGCCCCAGTTTAATAATACAATTATCAAATTTGTAACAACGATAAAACTATAGGGGTCTTCGCTTCAATAGGACTAGGAACATTCCAAAGTTAAGGAGAAAAATTATACGTCGCGCAACAAGCTAAAGGAAAAAAAGAATGAAGAAAAAGAGAGATGCATACACAAAGAAATGAAAAACAAAATTTCCAAGTACCTTTTATCGGCTTCGGTGGCTTCCTTGAACTTTGAGTTCTGTGAGTTAACCTCCTCTGTACTCAGTTCATTTACAAGATGTTTCTCCAGTGATGGTACTCTGGGTTTCTGCTAATTGGCCTGCCGCTTTTCCTCAGCATGAGAATGAGCAACTGGCTTTGGTGGCCGTCCTCCCGCTGGGGGTGCCATGTGCCAAGCACCAGGCCCAGGCATCAGTTGCTGTTGAAAGCCTTTTAAAGTGAAAAATAAGAGATTATTCTCCACCAAAGAAAGACATGGTTTCAAAAAATAAAAAGTGATTTGTTTTATGGATGAATACCAGATGCAAGTCTCCGGGCTACATTGCCAGCATTAGAGTAATTATTTGCAAGTTGAAAATTATTGGATACATCAAACATAACATTGCTTGGTAGCACTGCTGGAAGAGGGCTTTCCTCCCTAAACCGCTTCATCAAATATAGTGCAACACAAAACTCACTGACAGAAAGTATGTTATCGTTATCCTGATTGAATAAATCTCACGCCTGCTTTAAAAGGTTTTTTTTAGCCAAAATGGTCTATAAGATTATCATACTCCTCAGTTTGGTATCTGAGATTTAAAATCAATAAAAGTGATATCTAAGTTTGTCCATCATAAATCATTTTGATCATTCCGTAAAAGATTTCCTTTAAATAAGGACAAAATGACAAAAATACTCTCAATTTTTGAAAAATCATTTTGGCCCATTGTTTATTAAGTTGGGGGTATTTATGTCATTTTGGTATTTATTTAATAGAATCCTTCACATAATGACCAAAATAATTGGCCATGGACAAACTTAGGGACCACTCCTATTGATTTCAAATCTCAGATACCAAAGTAAGGAATTATGTAAATTTCATGGACTATTTTGGCTAAAAAGTCGCTTTAAAACCACGGACGGATGTAAACAAGATCAAAAAGTTAAAATAGTAGGGGAACTTTTAGCTTCCAAAAGTTATGTTCGTGGTCATACTATATAGGCGCATAACTGTATGAGCATTTAACACACTCTGAAATTCATATAAAATAACGGATTTGGATCCTCTCCTGAGCTAATGGAGAGGATCCTCTTGACCAATCATTTTGGGCCGTTGGATTTTTATCCAACGACTACAAATAAGAGGTTCTTTTAAAATTATAATAATTATAATAAAAGATCATTTTAAAATTATAATAATTATAGCCGTTGAATAAAAATCCAACGATCTACGATGATTGGTCAAGAGGATCCTCTCCATTAGCTCAGGAGAGGATCCAAATCCTAAAATAACGACATGTTCTCTTTCAAGATAATGGGGCATGATGGGTAGTCATTCTATCCTAGACTGCACATTCAGACGTGACTCAATTTGATATTATTTATGGATGTTTGTATGTCAATTGGCCCACAAAAAATTACTCCCAATTACAAATAAAATTTTACATCTACAAAATATATATTGCATATGTGAGTTTTCACATCAAAATACGATATATTATATATACATCCATCTGCATGGAATTTAGAACACAAAAAAATCAAACTCTCTTCTACAATCTTAAACCTTCTTACTGAGAGAAGCATAAAGAATGTGCCAGAAGTCTAGTTTTTCGGTGATGAAATCTCGACTTAGATCATTAAATCCTGGTGAAGCAGACATCCGTAGAATTACAACCACATAGTAGGGACGGAATTCTATTTCAAGGACATTACGGTACGTAAGCCTCGATCCTTAATTTGTCTGTTTAATATTATTTCGTTTTGTTCATACTCTGTTAAATTATTTGTTCGCATTTATTATTTATTGGCATATATAAATTTATCATTAATTGTTAATATTTATCCAACAATCTTAACTGTGACAACCCGTCCCAAATTTTATTAATTTGTAAATGTTAAAATGTGAAATTACGAAAATGCCCTAGAGACGAAGGTTTTGACTCTCATTGACTAGCGTGTTATGAGATGTACTAAATATTCTTTTAGCGTATTCTTGAGGTAATTGACGATACGAACGAGTATGTGCAAGCGGAAGTGAATTTGGAATGACAAACCAAAAGTATTTTGAAGAAATAACATTTCTAATTATATTATATTATGACATACTAATTAAGAGGACAAGTGTATGTGTGTGAGTGGGTGTGTGTGTGTATGATGGGAAAAGGGGAAGAAAAAAAGAAAAAGAAGAAGAAGAACAAGAAGAAGAGAGAAAGAAGAAGGGCTGCTGCCCAACCAGAAAGAAGAGAGAATTGAGGGACCAATCAGAGGGAGAAGAAAGGAGGGAAATGAGGGAGAGTGAGGAACAGGGGAAAAAGGGGGAAATGGGTAACCAACCCGTGACCAGTGCAAAACCGTCCACTTCTTCATATTTTTTGGGTGGTTTTCCATCGGATTTCTCACGAATTGGACCAAGTCATCACTCCCAATCATCATCTAACCCTCCATTTTTCCCATTATCACCCAAAATTGGAAGGAATTTGAGGGTAATTGAAGGGTTTTTCAAGGGAGTGCGCCAGAGGTGGGGTGGTGGCAATCCACCATTTATGAAGCAAATCCCATCAACCACCACCACCATTAGACCCCC